AAATCATCTCTAAAGTTTGAGAATGGAAGAAAAATGGACAGTTCAGTTCTTAGAAGGGAAACTTGGGGATGGCCAAAAAGCATTGACTGGAATTTTTTAAAGGAAATCTGGCTCTCTCCACCCACTTACTGGGGCTTTGATGCCATGTGGATATGGAATGCAGTGTTGGGATTGGCAGAGGGACTCTGCCAATAATTAATAAATAAATAAATATTGGCAGGGTGTGGTGGTTCATGCCTGTAATCCCAGCACTTTGGGAAGCCAAGGCAGATCACTTGAAGTCAAGAGTTCGAGACCATCCTGGCTAATACAGTGAAGCCCTGTCTCTACTAAAAATACAAAAAATTAGCCTGGTGTGGTGGCACGCACCTGTAGTCCCAGCTACTCAGGAGGTTGAGGCAGGAGAATCGCTTGAACCCAGGAGGTAGAGGTTGCAGTGAGCCAACATTGTAGCATTGCATTCCAGCATGGGCAACAGAGTGATACTCCATCTCAAAATAATAATAATAAATAAAAATGATTTATGAGGTGAAAGAGTTGGTGCTCCCATGTTTCAGGAATAGTTTGATGGTCCACATGCTTCTAGGCTGGCCTCTCCTCTGACCCCTGTCATGCCTGGGGTACTGGGGAATTAGCCAACCCATCATGCAGTGCTTCTTGGCCATGAGCCCCTCTGCTGCGAACCTGGGTGTTTTCAGAGGTTGCCTAGGCTGCTTGCTTTTTGGTTTCACCATAGCCCAGTCCAGCCTGTGGACAGAAAGCCTTCTTTAGAAACTTCCAGCCAGGTGTGGTGGCTCATACCTGTAATCCCAGCACTTTGGTAGGCCGAGGTGGGTAGATTGCAAGGTCAGGAGTTCAAGACCAGCCTGGCCAACATGGTGAAACCCTGTCTCTACTAAAAATACAAAAATTATCTGGGTGTAGTGGTGGGAGCCTGTAATCCCAGCTACTTGGGAGGCAGAGGCAGGAGAATTGCTCGAACCCAGGAGGCGGAGGTTGCAATAAGCCTAGATCACACCACGGCACTCCAGTCTGGGCGACAAGAGCAAGATTCTGTCTCAAACAAAAAAAAGAAAGAAACCTCCAAGCTGCTCTGTATTGCCTTGCTCTCCACCTATCTGCTTCTGAGAAGCCCTCAGCCCAGTCCTGGGTAGGACTCCCACTCCCTCCCTATTGTCCTAGACTAGCTTTTCTATCAGCCTTGTCTCTTGTAGAGATAGTCTTAGAAGATGGGAAAGACTCCACTGTTATCCCCAAAGCTGCCTGGTGAAAAAGCTATGGCAACCTGGGAGCTGGGGCCGGGGCTGACTCTGGGCAGCAGGGACTCGAGAGACCTAGAGCTTGGGCCCCATGCTACACCTTGCTGATTTCTCTCACTCAGGGGACGCACAGACCCTCATCCAGTCTTTTGCAGCTATATGGCAAGGCAGAGAAGCCACTTGCGGGGTCCCATGGCCCACTATACACAAACATAGTAGATACATCGGACCATGAGTGGTCAGATTGAGCCCCTCTCTAGCTAGCTGAGACCCATCATCCTGGGTCAAAGTTCTGACAG